AATATAACCAACCCAACTGCAACTCGGCTATCCAATGAACAATTCCAAGTCATTATCCATTACACCACCAACACATACAGTATCTGGTTTTCCAAAGTAGTCACCCATCAAGGTTCTGACCAGGCTTGACATTGCTTAACTTCGGTGAACGTACAGAACCGGTTTTTCAAAGTGATGTAACCGTAAGCATCGGTCGTCAGATATGAACATTTGGGTAATCATTTATTTCATATAGGGCATATTATAATGGATATAATTTTTTAAATTTTCAAAAAAACAAAAAGAAAAAAATGCTTAAAAATGTCGACATTGCTTACCTCCCTTTATACATTGCTTACTTGTCTTTAATTTCAAGCTGTGATCTAAATGCTAAGGCGATTAATCTTTCAGAGCAGAAAATATCTCTATTTCAGTAGCTAAGCAAATTAATTATAAAAGTAGTTAAAATAATTCGTTATTTATAAAGATAAAAAAGACAATATTTCTAATAAGAAAAAAAGCCTGTTATATTTTAAATTGATTTTTATTAATGAATATGCTTGTAGATAGAAACGATACCACATTCCGTGTGTAGTCAGGCAATTAGGCGTAGTGTAATGGTTAGCAAGCTTATTTCGTTGGATCAATTTATAACTGAGTAGTGAGTTCAATTCTCACTTTCGGTTTTGAATTGGGCATTGGCAACCCGGCCTAAAATAACTTATTTTCAGTATATCCGTCAAAGTTAACTAGCGGATGTATGCTCATAGACCCCTTTCATTTTTGTCCACACTTTAGATTAATTCTCCCTTCCCTCGCTGTCAGGTGGCCAGAGATGTCAATTCACTGGTGGATGCGTGACAGCTTTCTTTTTTTTTGTGTCTGTTTTTTGTATTTGTCGTTCCATGTGAATGAGTGTATACTTGTGTGTAGAGATTTTCCAAGCGTAGCTTAGATGTGGCGCAATGCAGAAAGTATGGGGCATCCAGTGAGGATCGAACTCACTATTTGTGTGTATAGTTGGTCGAATGATTCTTATAAATTATCGAAGTCTCGCATGAATTTCTTCCAGTTAACTGATGTTTCTGCCGCAATTAAAGATTGTTTTTTTTTTATTATTAACACTTTTTTTTAGTTTCTTGCATATTGTATGATACATATTGTAAATATTCATTGGAGTTTGATTTTGAATGTTATTTCATTCCCCACCTCCACAGACAAATTATACATATGGGGACTAGTTAGGACCCCATAGATGTATTATGGTGGCTGTAGTAAGAATGGGAAGTAAGAATGTGGTATTTTGGCGCAAGGAATATTGCATAGTTTGTTTGGGTCAGTGATTGTGGCTAGCTAAGTTTAAGATAAGACAAACTGATGACCAGACTTCCCCATTCATCCCGTTTAGCATTGTGCCATATTTTCAGTTTTATTTCCCAAATAAATCATACTTATTATAAAACCCAGGTTGTGTGTGTGTGTGTGTGTGTGTGTGTTCGTTTATATATTGGATCGGATTTCCTACATTTTTCAACCGATTTCAACAAAACTTCACAAGACTACGTAAAATTACCTTGCGGTGGTTCTGACAGCGCCGAAAATTGGAAAAACACAATTGTTTTTGCACGAAATCATTTTGAAAACACGATTAAGAGGCATCGCTTTCGCGAGAAAAAAGGGGGGACAACTCATATCGAGTTATACTTATTATAAAAACCCAGGTTGTGTGTGTGTGTGTGTGTGTGTGTGTGTGTGTTCGTTTATGTATGGGATCCGATTTCCTACATTTTTCAACCGAATTCAACAAAACTTCACATTTTTTTGGCAGGTAGTGTTTCTTATTGTCTTGCACACTTTTTTCTTTATTTTTACATTCAGAATGCTTTAAAAATTCCATATATAAGGCAATTGTTTATAATAAAATTCTATTCAATCGGTAGACTCATAACGATTGAAAACAATGTTTTTGTTTGAGTTTGACCAATTCAAAAAAAAAAAAAAAAAAATCTAATTAAGACATGCGTGTCCATCAACCTTAAACAATAATCTTTGTCAATTTTATTTTTCAGTCTTTATGATGGTCGATACTTGATCTATCTCTTACTGTTACATCCCCGGGCAACGCCGGGCTCTACTGCTAGTATATGATATAATATTTGAACACACACGTTCGGACAGACAACCAACTTTGCATATATTTCGTTAATTTTCAGGTTTTCAAGAGAACACGCAAACCGTAAGCATTATATATTTGGTGAGAAAAGAGAGAACAAAAGATGGAAGGAGGACAAGAAAGAAGAATACTGTCTGCTACCAGACAAATCATGCTATACATAATTTAATCAAACATCCTAATTCTGAATTCATATTTAGAATTATCCAATCACCTCAGTATTTAACGATATATGCCTACCATATTTGTACTCAAGGTAAATACTATATTACAGTAGAATCCATGACAACCGGACTAAGAAGGCCTTCCGAATATGAGGAATTGGTTACAAAGTCCGGATATGATGGGTTGTATTTAGATTAAATGTTAGAGACATTATTGCTCTGCTTGGGGTGAAATGATTATATATATATATATATATATATATATATATATATATATATACTTGAGATTATCGCATAAAAGTCATAACTGAATCAGTTGGTTAAGTTGTCAAATCCTCATACATCGAAGCTGACGGAGAGTCCATTATACATACATACATACTTATATATATATATATATATATATATATATATATATATATATATATATATATATATATATTTAATTAATTCATAGAGTCTAATAGAAACCTCCACAGAATATATACTTTTAAATCAAACATTCTGTGCAGTTTAATTTATATCACAATGAATTATTCATACAAAAATTAAATTAGTAAAGTTAATAAGATAAAATGGCGAATTCACTTCGCTAACTAAATTTTAAAAATGCATTAACCCACTAACCATTCGATGAATGTTATGTTCCTTGTTTTTGAAAATTATAAAATTATAAGCTGTACTAGGTTTTCCTTAAATATGCAAGTACTTTCGACAGGTTCTCCGGTCATCGTCAGGCATGGAAACTATTTTACCAAAAAAGAAAATTCTTTTTTGATATTACTATCGAAGGATTAGAATAGGCCAAATAACAAAATTAAATAAATAAAATGGATAGAATATGGTCGTGGTTACGACATATGAAGCCTTGCGTGATTTAATGTCAGTTATTACTACTTGCCGAAAACTTGTCTTGCAAACATTTTTATTAATAAAGGTAAGAGTGTACAAAAGAAAAGATTTGAAATTGACAACCTTTCTTTCTTTCTTTCTTTCTTTCTTTCTTTCTTTTTTTTCTTTCCCACAAACCAAGTAGCGTCGCTGATATGTCAGTTCCGTGTTTTTTCGCCGTCAAAACAGATTAGTCCATTATTTGTGAGTTATTGACAGGATGTAACCGTTGTGCGAATTGAGTAAGGAAGTAATTAACGAAGGGGGAGGGAAAATTATTATTATTATTATGACTACTACTACTACTACAACAACAACAACAACAACCACAATAATAATAATAATAATAATAATAATAATAATGTAGTCGGTTATATTATGTATTCTAGCCAGAAACATATCTTGCAAACATTTTTATTAATAATTTTTTTTATAATTAAGGGTGACAAATGAAAAGATTTGAAATAAACAAATTTTTTTTCCATTTCACTGAAACAGACGTTAAACAATTCTATCTTCTGTTCTTTCTTTCTTTTTCTTTCTTTCTTTTTCTTTCTTTTCCCCTGCTTTCTTTCCTTCTTTCTTTCCTTCTTTCTTTCTTTCTTTCTTCCCTTCTTTCTTACTTTCTTTCTTTGATTTTCTCACTGAAAGAAACCAAGAAGCGTCTCTGATATGTCAGGTCCGTGCTTTCAAGCCGTCAAAACGGAATAGTCCATTATTTATGAGTTATTGGCAGGGCGTACCATTTGTGAGAATTAAGTAAGTAACTAATTAACGAAAGGAGGGACAAGTATAACAACAACAACAGCAACAACAACAACAACAATGATAATAATAATAATAATAATAATAATAATAGTGCAGTCGGCGATATTACGTATACTAGCCGAAAATCTATCTTGCAAACATTTGTATTAATAAATTTATTTATAAGATTTGAAATTGACAACTTTTTCCATTTGACTTAAACAGACGTGAAAGACTTCTATCTTTTCTTCTTTTTTCCCCTTCCTTCTTTATTTTTCTTTCTTCCTTTCGTTATTTCTTTTTCTTACTATCCCACCCTTCTTTCTTTCTTTGATTTTCTCACTGAAACCAAGAAACGTCTCCGATATGTAAGATCCGTGTTTTCAAGCGGTCATAACAGAATAGCCCAATTTTTATGAGATACTGACAGGACGTAGCGGTCGTGTGACTGGCAGAATTATAATAGATTCATGATCGCCCAAGCGTATTTGTGTGTAAGTGAATGTGACGAACTCGGCTAGAATTCGAACTCGGTCCTCCGATTGCTCATTCATTATTCATTACATTGCGCACCCATCGCACATCTCACCGACAGCATCTGGTATTCTCAAGCGGTAATCGAAGGAGAACCGTTAATTCGACATGATTTGGCCCTACGCAATCGCGGTTCGTCGAAGAGGGCATTAAAAATGATTGATATTAGCTGAAAACCATTCTTGAAAACATTTTTATTTATAAATTTGTTTATAATTAAGGGGGGACATATGAAAAGATTTGAAATTGACATTTTTTTCCATTTCACTGAAACAGACGTTAAACAATTCTATCTTCTTTCTTTCTAGGTGCGAAGTAGGGCTCTAACAAAGTTAGTGACAAGCTATATTATAATAGATATATTTCAGTCTAAGCAATCTACCCAATAAGCTTTCTGTTTGGTTGTCAGAATATGGACTGAGAGGGAAAAAACAAATATGCTTAGAGAAAAGGAAGCTATGAAGTTGTGGAGGAACATGATCGGCTACGTCCTGAAATAGATGTCACATTGTTCAAGAAGAAGAAGAAGAAGAAGAAGAAGAAGAAGGAGAAGAAAAAATAGGTTTGAAGCTTCGTTTTATTTTCGAAGTTTTAAGAAGAAGAAGAAGAAGAAGAAGAAGAAGAAGAAGAAGAAGAAGAAGAAGAAGAAGAAAACAACAAAGAAGAAGAAGAAGAAAATAGGTTTGAAGTGTTAAGAGAAGAAGAAGAGGAGGCGGAGGAGGAGAAAGAAGAAGAAGAGGAGGGGGAAGAGGAAGAAGAAGAAGAGGAGGAAGGAGAAGAAGAGGAGGAAGAGGAAGAAGAAAATAGATTTGAAGCTTGGTTTTATTTTTGAAGTGTTAAGAAGAAGACGAAGAAGAAGAAGAAGAAGAGGAGGAGGAGGAGGAAGGAGAAGAAGAGGAGGAAGGAGAAGAATAGGAGGAAGAGGAAGAAGAAAATAGATTTGAAGCTTGGTTTAATTTTCGACGTGTTAATAATAATAATAATAATAATTACGTATGTTCCAGTGTACCACATATTTGCCAACCAGGTTGAATTATATAATTAAAAATTCCAATAGGCCTTAATGAATTGATTAGCATTCATTAATTGACTTTTTAATTCATTAGCACTTAATGATTAATGATACAATGATTTCAGTTTGGGAATAGTGTCTGGGCCTTAATATAACCGGCAAAAAGAAGCGGGAATTGTGTCGATTTTAAAAAGAAGAGAATAAAGGGAATGGAAACAGGAATAATGAAAAGAAGGAATGGAGAGTTCGGTTGTAAGATGAAATAGAGAGAAAGAGCATGTAAGGTGAAATAGAGAGAGGAAGTGTCTAAGGGGAAATAGAGAGGAGGTATGTAAGGTGAAATAGAAAGGGGAGGTGTGTAAAGTGAAAGAGAGAAAGAGAGTGTGTAAGGTGAAAGAGGATGGGGGCAGGTATGGTGAAAGAAAAGGGGAGGTGTTTAAGGTGAAACAGAAAGGAGAGATGCCTAAGTGAGGGATTGTAAGGGGAAAGAGAGAGAGAGAGAGAGAGGGGGGGTGGTATGTAAGGGAAAAGAGAGGGAAGGTGTGTTTAAGAAAGAACGATAACAAACCAGGTTAAAGAGAGGGATGTTGAGTTACACGAAAAAATGGATATGATGGGAAGCAAGAATAGTTGTGAGTGGAGGTACTGATTATACTAAGACGAAGTTTTGACTAATTTAATTTTTACGGTTTACCAACCCTTTGTGAGTGAGTTACTGCCGAAACACATTTTGGACTTAAAAAATAATTCTTTTTTTTTTTTTGCGAGTGAGTAACAAATGTTGGACGATTTCCTCAAAGATGAAGAAGAGACTCGAGGCGACAGAGATGTGGTTTTACAGGAGGATGCTGAGGATATCATGGACCGAACGTATGGGCAACGATGAGATCTTAGAGAAGTTGCAAACAAGGAGGAGACTTATACTTAATATCAGGAAGAGGCAGTTGAAGTTTCTGGGACACATAATGAGAGAGGAGGGCCTGGAGAATCTGATACTCACAGATCGAATAGAGGGAAAGAAAGACAAGGGAAAACAACGCATGACATACCTGGCGAACTTGAGTAAGTGGATGACAGAACGTGGTCTGGAGGAAGAAGCAGAGGATAGAAACAGCAAGGGATAGAAGGAGGTGGAGAGCCATGATCGCCTATGTCCCGAAAAGACATGGCACATAAAAAGAAAGAAAGAGTATTGATTGAACATTTATTTTGAACGAAAATGTTTTTTTCCGAATAAAAATCCTGCTATTTAACCCATAGCTGGAGGAAGAAAAAAGAAAGAAAGAAAGAAGGAACGAGAATAGAAAAAGTCGGCCAGATCGTGACTGCAAAAGGTTCACCTCGACGAACGATGAATAACAGAAAATGTCGACGAATGAAATGAAAATTGGTCTGAGGACAGCGTTTAAGGTCACGTGGTATCAGAGTGCAGGAAATTAACTCGGGAGCACAGCCAGCACTGACGAATGGCGAAAGGACAGCCAGAATAGCGGGGAGGGACTGAGTAAAACAAAGACGGAAGAGAAATGGAAGAAAGCAGTGAAGAAAGATAAAATGGCGGTTAGACATATCCTCGTGATAAGACGCCATCGGTCTCCACAGGGCGTCAGTGAAGTGGCCGACGAAACCAAGCATTGAAATGTTACGAAGATGATGGCATTTTGGTCACTTTGTTATTATGCATGACACTAACCAAACACACACACACACACACACACACACACACACACACACACACACACACACACACACACACACACACACACACACACACGCGCGCACGCGCGCGCGCAGACACACACACACACACACGCGCAGACTCACACATATATATATATATATATATCGCACATAGAGTGCTGGCGTAAATAAAACAGAGATCGATGTACTATAACAGAGCTATTAAGTATATATGAATACATACACATATCCTAGCAATTAAAGAATAATGGTAATAGACCGATTATTACGCGTGATATTGTAGCAAAAACCAATTCTTATAATGGGAAAGGAAATAGGTGTAATTTATACCTTCTAGAAAAATGAGTTATCTTAAACACAAAGTATGTATATAAATATATAAAACTAGATAAAAATACCTTGTCTGTCGTTTTCAATGAAATGTGTATGAAAGAAGGGTTGCTGTCTACACAAATATATATATATATATAAATTCATGAATCATTCATACAAAAAACAAATATAGAGGTTAATGATTTAAATGGCGAGAATACATCTTCGCAAACAATATAAATAAGATACATCAACCCCGAACCTGTATATGAATGATATGATCCCCGTTCATAAATTCCAGTTGCTTAAGGTCTTTTAATTTTTAAAAGCTTTCGTCTGTTCCTACAGACATCCTCAAGTATGGAAATAGATTTTGTTCTTGTTTTTACTTCTCGGTAATAAGAGGCCAACGAAAATAGAAATGTAATCCGAAAAAATGCTATGAGAAATGTGTTATTGTTTTGGAACGTGCGGTCGCAACGCTGAGTTTGAATTTAAATTTTAAGGTTGTGCGTTTTTGTACAAAAGAGAATTCTTTTTTACTGGTAGATTTTCCGTCTATGTGGCATGAACTATATTGTTCAATAATTTCAGTAATGTCACACTTATTATCCGAAAGTTGCACGTTGGATCAGTTATTTTAATTTCAATTAAAGGTGCAATTATAATTTATAAATTCATGAATCATTCATATATATATATATATATATATATATATATATATATATATATATATATATATAAATTGCTGATACCTCCTGACAAGTGGACTGAACGATTACAAAAAAGGTTCATCTATGAAACTCTGGAATCGAGGTGATGAATATAACATCAATCAACAATCTGCTAATTGACAAATTTCATATTTGTATTAATCATCAATATATATATATATATATATATATATATATATATATATATATATAGATAAACCTAGTGAGCCAGACAAATCTACCCAAGCTGGGTAGGTTTGTCTGGCTCACTAGGTTTATCTAGGTCTGCTCTACGGTTGTATTGAGCTCTTTTGTTAGTTACTTGTTTACTCGTGTCGGGTTTTTTTCTTTGGGCTTCAAACCTGTATCTGTGCGATTTTTTTTTCGACAGACTTTCATGTTTCTAGCTCTTTCTTTTTTTAAAACCTTTTTTTTCTTCGAGATTGATTTGATCATTGGCAATTACCTATATTTGTATTTATATATATATGTGTGTGTGTGTTTGTTTCATTCATCAGCGAATGAGATGTGGAAAGAAAGAAATTCTGATATTTATATAATTGTTGTCTTTGATTTTCATTAGTTAAGAAGTCTTTGACCTTTTAAGCAGCGTTCGTGGAAATGTATGGCGTTCCTGTAAATTTATAACGTTCTGAACTCAACGAGGCATGACTTTTTTTTTCGAAGCTCCCAAAAGTTTACGGATTTAAAGTTAAACTTAAAAATCCGTTAATTTCTTTTTCTTCGTATCGCATTCCCCGAAGAATCTTCGATAGAAGTGAAACATGTTATACTGATAAACGTTTCCTGTTTGTTCTTTATTCTGTCATTATCTTGGATTCCAATCGATATGTGATCGATATTTGATCCCAATTCATATCTATCTATCTATCTATCTATCTATATATATATATATATAAATTAAGACATTTTTATGTTTATACATTCATTTTATAGATACAAATATTTAAGTAAATACTCTGTTTTATAATAAAACAGTATTTATAAATGTACATTATACATACATACATATATATATATATATATATATATATATATATATAGAGAGAGAGAGAGAGAGATAATATTAATGGTAAATACACACATACATATGCAAAATATATTAATATATATACATACATGCATACACATGCATATATATTTTTTTGAATAAAAATAATTCCAAGAGGATAGAATCCAGGTAGAACTCAATGTCCAGGACAGAGTAAGGATATAATAAAAAGGCTTAAGCACTAATATTCCATGGTCATAATTTATCCCATTGGAATCGTAAATACGATCCAATTCATCAGACCTACAAATCCAAAAAGAAAACAGAAAAAACAACTCCGGAAATAAAAAATAGAATTTAGAGAGAGTGTAAGTATGAGAGTGTGGGACGAATGTTAGAGCTAAAGAGAGGGGTAACAGACGAGAGAAAGTGGGAGATTAAAATTTAACAGAGAGAAGTTTTAGAGAGGTGAGTCAAAGACGGTTTAAGTGAGAGAAATATGAATGTTGTCGGATGTCTAATACATTAAGGATGTAACCGGAAAGGATACATTTTGTAGTGACATACGCACACAATAGACGATCTAATCTTAAAGATCAGAAGAAGAGGGAGGGAGAAAAAAAGAAAAGAAAAGAAAAGAGGTGGGGGTGAGAGATGGGGCGAGGGAAACTAAAACTGAAGGGCATTTATAAAAGGGCTGCTGTGTAATTAAGAAAATTTGACAAAATTAATATAGACTACAGGTTACAAATCAAATATAAACATATAAAAAATAAATATAACGATTATCTAATCTAGCAATATTTTTATGGTTAAAAACACAAGCTTATACACACATACACAATAACATCTCTCTCCCCACCCCTTTTTCTTTCCGAATTGGTGTCAGTCAGAGTTTCTACCACTGGGCTATCTTCACTCGACAGAATGAGTCAACCAAATCTAGCATATATATATATATATATATATATATATATAAACATAAAACATTAGGCAGCATATAATTTACATACAAAGAAATAATCACACATAGAATCAATTAGAAATATTAATGCAATTATTGGCGTCTTCTATTCATCATCAGGCATGTGTTGTTTTTTCCTTATAAAATCAAAACTTGAAGACAATCTACAATCTCGGAACGTGCAAAGACGCAACGCTAAGTTTTTCAAAATTTTAAGTGAGAATTTTATTTAAATATTTCTTGTGATGTGTTAAATCCACGTATTCTGTTCGTAAGTACTAGCATTTTAAGAACACATAAACTGGAAACAACAGACATCAATTTTATAGACGAGGATCACTTCACTCTATGGATTAACAGTATTTTAATGCATACATTATACTACTAGCGATGGATGTCGCCAATAATCGCATTAATATTTCTGATTGATTCTATATGTGATTATTTCTTTATATATATATATATATATATATATATATATATATATATATATATATCACATTTTATATGTTTTTCGTACTGATTACATAGGTACCGTTTGTTTGACTTTGTTTTATTGACGAACTTATCTACTCTATTATATATATATATATATATATATATATATATATATATATATATATATATATATACACACACACACACACACAGAGGAGAGAGAGAGCTTATAGTTGAATCAAGGCTAAGTATGGATCTCTTTTATACTTGAATCAAAAAGGTAAACGTTGAATCAGTTTATATTTGAGTCAGATGGTAAACCTTGGTTCAGTTTATGCTTCAGTCTGAAAGGTGGCCTCTTTTGCTACTTGTGGCCTTAGCCTTCTGCAGGAAGTCGGGAAATTCTAGACCCCGCAAGGCTTTTTCTGGGCTTATTTACAACTGTCTTTATCAATAGTTTCATAAAAGTGTATTTTAAACTTTTATAGTTTATCAGTGATACCTATCACTATGACCTATTTCTTTAAAACCACCATTAAAACTGGCAGGTGGATTATTTACCACTTATTTCGATTACCACTGTAGAAGAAAAAATCATCGGTATTTATGTCTCTATGATATTTTGGAAATACCCAATATCGAAAGCAAGTTTTGCAGCTTCAAATTAATTGCCGGAGAAACACAATCACTGTGAGCTAAACGAAACGCTTTTCTGTTTTGTTTGCTTCTTTTTATAAGCCGCGTCTCGCTACCTCGATCGAGAAAAGGTGCGGTCGAATAAAGGTCATGCTGTCTGATGCGAACATGGATGTCGGCCCATTACGCACAGGAGCACGATTGACAGCCAAAATTATTTCCGGTCTGTTTGCATCTCACAAATCTTGAAACGGGCCAAGGTTTGGAATTCTCAGTAAAACGTTTCCGAAATAAACAAATCGTTCTGCTGGGGACCGCTTTCCTCTCACTGACCAAGAATGGACGGGAAGCAAATCTGTTGAATTTCACAAGCCGCTGTTTATGAAGTTACTCACGATTCTTCAAATAAAAGGCATAAAGAAGAAATAAAAGTAAATTCGGCAAGAGTATTATGATTATAATAATAATAGTTTTTATCATTTAACACTGAAGAGATAGGCGGGCTTAATGATTAATTCTGACAGAAAATGGAATTAGAGAAACGATTTCCATTTTCAGTTTCAGATGCTTACATTCTCTTTACACTAATGCCTTATATATTTAGAGATTCTTGATAGCATCTAAAGAAAATCTGCAATGCTATTGGTCCTGACCTGGCATATCGGCTCCAGTCATTTTCTAGGCTCCAGTCATTTTCCCACCGTCGTAATGTCGTTTCCCTGCGCATTTTCTATAAATATTTTCGTGGTAATTGTTCTGAGACTTTACGAATTTAAGTGCAGTACTTGATGGATGGCAAGCTCTCATCATTTTACAGTTGAAATGACTATATGTAACCGTAAGTTCTATGTTAACAGTT